ATTTTTTAAATTTATTTTTATTTAAAAATAAAAACATTATTATTCTTAAAGACACATAAACCATATTATATTAACAAACAAAAAAATAAAACAAAATATTACAAAAATAAATTCGATTAATTGTTCGAGTACATTCTAATAAAAACAAATATAAAGGTGGGAAAAGGATAATTAGATTTTTGATATTAAAATTTTGAAATATATTAACAATAATTTCTAAATCATGTCGACGCTGATATTTCTCGAAATCCAAGAAACACGTGAGAACGACAATACAACATACGATAAAAGCATATTGGTCAATTTCCGGACATTCACCACCTTCCCACCACCGTCTACGGTTGCCGGAAGGTCAACAGTCGTCGGCGTATGATGAGAAGGTCGGCGGAGAAAGATAATTTGGTTAATGAAACAACATAATTTCCCCTTCAGTTCGAAGTTCTTCTCTGCAGTATATCGTTATACCTCACAAGCGATTCAACACGTTGTAATTTCAACTGTTGCCTAAACCTAGTGATGAAATCATCCGCTTTTGCATCCACGCCGGCATCACCTGCATTCCGCCTCTCTCTCGCCGTCGCTGGCCTCCTAGAGTCAACATCCTCTTCGTCGTCCGACGGAAGCCTTATCTCGCTACGTGTCTTCTTTATCTCCACCACCGACTTCTCCACCGAACTCTTTTCCGACTTGCTTCTGATTGCATGATGGTCCGCCTTAGCAGTTCGACCTGTATCGATATTTGCGTGTTCAGTTAACGGAGCTCCGGATTTGGAAGGGGAAGATATTTTGAACGATTTGACTCGTTCTATGAACGAAGGAGCTCGGACGAGTTGACCAGGTGAGTTGGAGATCTTGCTAGACTCGGTCAGAACTATGTTTTCGCTGTCAGTGGATGAGAATCTAACGGACTTAACTCGTTCCAATTGAGAACCAGCACCGACTGCTTTACCCGATTGATACAGGTCGTCGCCGTTGGAGCGAGTTCCGTGAATCGTTGGGAAATAGATGGACTGAGCGAGCCGACTTAGCGAACTGTAAGTCGCTTTTTTGGGCTGAGATGGATTCTTTTGTCGTGATTCCGCCGTGGTGATGGCGGCGATGCAGGAGGATACACTAATGGGTTTGGATCGCTCGAACAACGATGTTATCCCGGCGATTCGACTGGAAGAATTTCCATAAACTTGATCTTCGCCTTGGTCATAGTGCTTGTTGTTGTTGTTGTTGTTGTTAGCTAGAACTTGGCGTTGATCATGGCGTTTGTTGTTATTGTTAGCTATGAAAATGGTAGCAACTATGAGATTCATGAGGCCAAAAAGAACAATGGGTGTAAACCAAGCGGCCATTGAAGCCCACATGGATGCAATCACCATGGATTCACTACCTCCGACCATTATTTTCTCTGAAGAATGTTGGAAGAATGGTGGAAATGGACATCATGCATAGAGAGACCGTGGCAATATATACCACTCGATGGCTCCACCCCCCAAAAATAATATCCAACAATTTTTGTTTAAAAATTAAAGATTAATTTAAAATATTTGTTTTTGAATAAACTACAAATTTGGTCCTTGCGGTTTATAAAAAAATAACAGTTTTCGTTCCCACAGTTTCTAAATTATAAGATGGCCATTGTAGTTTGTAGAAACATTCTTTACTTCTCTCTGACATTTCCGTTCCTTTATCGGGTTTTTTTTGTCTTTTACTTAATCAAAAACCACAAAGACCAAAATCACAAAATCGATTTTGATTGGATAAAAGATAGAAAAAAAACGCCCCTCATTTAACGATAGTAAGGGGCCGTTTACCCAATTGCTTAATCGGTAAGCGCTTACAGATATGAGTCAACACTATGATTTATTTTGATACGCAAGATTTTCGTACATCAAAACATATCGAATGCAACAATTTACTGTGTATGCACTTACCTGGGTAAGACTAAGAGGCGTCATTCTCACTTACTGAGTAAGACTCTCCATCATTCTAATTGCTTTTACCAGGTAAGATTCTTGGCCCTTCTCATGTTCATTCGATAAGGAAATTTATCCGGTAAGAACTTACCAAGTAAGTGTTTAGTAAACGGCCTCTAAGATGAATGAACCAAATTCGGACGTTTCTACAAACCATAATGATTGTCTTGTAAATTTGAAACCGCATAAACGAAAATTGTTATTTTCGACAAACCATAGGGACTAAATTTGTAATGTACTCTGTTTTTTTGTGTAAACGAATATCCATTCTCAAATATCTTCTCAAAAGGCTTACAATTTGGTCTACACAACTTTTTAATTTTTTAAATATATATAATTAATTTTTTATTTAATTTTTATAGATAGACCTATTTCTTTCATGATAACGCATTTTGAAATCAACCGGTCTTGACTTTCTGTTACTTAAGTTTTCTATGTCGACATAGATGTAACTAGAATATCTACAATCACGAAATTATATTTTAAATTTTAATTAATTAACACATAATTTATGTTATATAAAACTTTTTTTTGATAACTGTGGATTTTCAAGTCCATTTATGTGCATTGATTAAGGGTCGATCATCATGCCCTACTCTTTTCCAAGCCTTAAAGGCTAAGAAGTCAATTAGCAGTCTAAAGAAGGCAACTAGTTGCTTAGCCAACGACGATGAAGGTTAGTAACTCTCTTTTGGGAAAACTACAAGTGTGGTGTTTGATTGATTTGAGCTTGAGCTACAAAGATCAAAAGTGTTTGGAGGTCTCATGTTCAAATGCAAGGAGGAATAAAATCCTCTTGTGACCACGAAGGTTCAAATGCGGTGACTTCAGGCTACTAGCAAAGCAGGTGGTCGTCCTAAGATTAGTCAGCTCAGATAACGGGTTGGATATTCAGGTTAATTGAAAAAACTCTCATTTGGGAAGTAGTAGCTGTAAATCTATCAACTCGTGTAGTTTTAGGCCGTAGATGTTTATTTTTCTTTAATACTGAATTCAAATAAGATCCTAGAGTTTGTTGGAATTTTCTTTCGAAATTCTACATCATGTCGAATGGCAGGTCCATCGTCTATCGTTCCTCTGGGTAATCATGAATGGTTTGAAATAATCGTTGGTGAACCTTCATATATAAATTCAGACCCTGGATAGATAAGATTTCCAATAAAAACCCAAGTAGTGAACTGAATTTTCTGATCATGAAAATTTACTGTTTAATAACACAACTACATTAACAAGAAAATACAAAAGTTGTTAACTATAAAAACTAAACTAAGTGGTTGTTTGACAGTTGCTGAATTGTTTGGTGCAAAATGATTAAGTGGTCATAATGATTAAGAAGCTCTTACAATATAGCGTAAAATGAAATGTAATTGTTTAGTAATTATTCAAAATAAAATTAGGCTGCTGAATGGTTAAGGGAGACCCAAGATTCAAAATCATTCAAAGAGTTTTAGAACCATTAAGAGACGGATTTTTTCTTGCCGAACAAAATTCACCTCTTAACAATTCAGATGCCGCCTCTTAATGAAGCTATTAAAAAGTAAACAAACAACTTCTAAAATATTCAGGAACACCATTATTGGTAATGAAAATAAAATTACCCTTAAATATTCCCTTTAAAAACCCCATCTTTATTTAAAAAAAAAACAAAAAAAAACAATAAATAATGAAAAATAAATTTAATTTAATATTATAACTCTAAACTTTTTCAGAAAAAATAAAATAAAAAATTATTTTTAAATTTTGTTTTATTTTAGTTGCGACGCGCCGTAAACTTATTAACGATATTATGTAATGGAACTATCCATCGTTCGGTTCCTTTCACAATATTCTCTTACAAATTTGAAACGGTTTGTATTTGCCAACTTTAATGAAACAAAATGTAGCACACATCATTACGAGTGCGCTTATTGCGTTATTGGTGTGTAACTTGACAACGAAGATTGTTGACTATTTTTATGGTCACGATTGTTCGATTTGTAGATACAATAACTATGAATAAGAAAACATATTATAATTTTTAAATATTTAATATGTTACGTTATTATTTGTGGTCGTGAGATGTTTTTATCGTGTGGCGTGTTTGAATATGTGATTTATGTTAAACCGTCGACCACTGAAGCAAGCTAGCTGTTATCATGTGTTATCCTTAACTCTTAAGAAATACTATACCAATACGAGCGGATAGACGCAAAATCGTATAATTATTCCTTTCCTAAAACAAAACCCTTTTTTTGTAGCGGTGGACTTGGTACGGTACCAAGTTTTTTTTAATACTATGTACCAACCAATTATAATTGATATGCGGACATTTGTACTGTATATCAACCATATTTGGTACCACTTAATTCGTACCACCTTTTTTTTTTGGGTATATATTGGTACTGATTTTGTACCAACTTCAAGTTATATGTATGAAGCTTGATATAAGTTCAAATGTTGAGTGATGTTTTAAGTTTGCAGATAACACATGTCATGTTTAATGGTTTTTTAATTGCAAAAAATAAAACTTTCAAATATTCAAATACTCTGATAAAAAAAAAAGTTCAAGTTAAGAAGTGTAAGGGGTTGTTTGGCAGTTGCTAAATGTTTTGGTGCAGAATGATTAAGTGATGAGAATGATTAAGAGGCTCTCATGATATAATGCAAAATGAAATATAATTGTTTACAACAAAACTAGGGCGCTAAATGGTTAAGGGAGACCCAGGATACAAAATCATTCAGAGGGTTTTAGAACCATTAAGAGGCCGAATTTTTTTTCGCCAAACAAGATTCGCCTCTTAACGATTCAAATGCTGCCTCTTAATGGAACTATTAAAAGATAAACAAACAACCCCTTAATTACATGGTATTGTGCTACCACTCGATGAAATTAGTACCAATTTAGTTGATACACATGTTGGTTCAGGGTGGACCCACTTAATTGATACGGTAGCACGGACTATTGCTTCATTCCTCCATCGCAGTATAAAAAATCATAGGACCGTGAAAGGTGTTACTATATCATTTTCTTTTTGGGCAGCCGGATATATTTTGAAACTACAATTGTAAGTTTTCTTTGGTAGAGTTTAATCGCATGACTTTTCTCCCACCCCATGACCGGATTCAAATCCTGTTTGTTTCATTTTCCTTACTTTTTAGATTTATTACGTTTCTAAAAAAATTGCAATAAAAGACTTGAACACAGAATCTCACATATGAAAAACAAATAACTAATCAACAAACCAATAATGATTTTATATTTTGTCTCTTATAATCAACTGATGACACTACTTATTTGATACAAAATTATCAGCTCTGCTTATTTGGTCATCTTATATGATTTTGATCATGTAGAACATCAATATATTCTATATAGACAAATATTTAAAATAAAAAATAACATAATTTTCGCAACTGTCCGTTTTAGTCTGCATAAAATAATGAGTGATCACGTTCGGTTGATAAAAGAACAACCAAAATTTATCCACTAGTTGTCATCTCTCAATCCACATTAAAATTTATGTCGATAACCTAGGAACATGCAAAATAGATAAATACGTCATTTTATTTTATAAATTTGTGATTCATGTGTTTAGTGGTGGATCAAAAAATTTTGTCTAGTGGGACCACCTTTAAGGTAGACTAAAGGCATGTAAAGTCGTCCGATGTATTTTTAACCTAATTACAATGTTTCGAGGGATTTTTAATGTTTTTTTTTTTGTTAATTTCGAGGGATTTTTAGTGTTTTTATTGATTTCAACAGATTTTTTTGGTTTGAATAACAATTTCGATTGGGGTTGGGGGCCCGTGGAAAAATGTAATGAGGGAAAGTGGAATGTAAATCATTTAAAACCTAAATTTTAACCTAGAATTTTTGTTTTTGAATTTTTGACTGGGGTCCCTCCCCCCATTTTGCTACTCTGTTTGCCCCTGCCTGTGTTCCAACATTGTATCAATTGATAGGTATATAGTTCGGATCCCGTGAGTATTAACATGTTATCAATTTTTATTACATATCATGTATTTAATAAAGGGCAAAATGCGTGAAATATTAATCTATTGTTACAAATTTTCTTGTTATAGTATTGTACTTTCAGTTTTTCTTATTACAATAGTATACTTTCAAAACATTTTTTTAATTAAAGTATCGTACTTTCAAAAATTTATCTGTTATAGTATTGGGTAACCTGTTACCTTTTGAACATGTTTTTCTTTGTTGACGTGTCAAACTTAAAATGACATGGAAGCCACATAGGATAACCTGTTACGCATGGAAAATGCGCGAAATAGCAATGTACTGTTACAAATTTTGTTGTTATAGCATTGTACTTTCAGTTTTCTTATTACACCAATATACTTTCAAAATATTTTTTTAATTAGGGAGTCGTACTTTTAAAAATTTACCCGTTACAACATTGGGTACACGATGCGGAACGGGTTCACAAAAGGGTGTTAAAAAGGTAATGTGAAATCTTTGAGTTTCATGCTAATTTTATATATCAATTGCATACTAATTTGTTCCCTAATTTGAACACGAACCATCTCAAGTGGAATCACGACCAAAGCTCATCCCAAAAAAAATGAAGCTAAGTGAAAGGATAACTTTGAACAACTTACGGAAAAATACTGTTGAGAAGGGTGGAGAAGGCAGTAGTTGTGACAAGGCGGCTCATTTTGATTAAATATCATTGTTAGACAAATATGAATAGAATGAGTTTTTTTTTGTTGTTGTTTGAAAAGATATTCCACTTGTTTAGTTTTTAATATTACAAAGTAAGCTATGAAATTTACGATAAACTCCATGAACAAATGGTTTTTATGAATATTTTGATTCATGAAATACTGATCTTTTGTACATGTGTTTAATTTCCGATATTATAATTTTTAGTAAACATATTTGATTAAATTTACAATGTTTAAATGATAAAAATATTAAAATTAAAAGTACAACGTTGTAATAAAAATTGATGATGTTATAATAAAGTAATTTTGAAAGTACAATGCTACAATAAGAAGTGTCATGTCAACACTATCGTGCACGTGGACAGCTTACGTAGACGATGAGATGACAAAGAAACTTGGTATAATGATAAATTTAATTTAAAAAGTTACCTAATGCTATAATGGGTAAATTTCTCGATAGTATGATGCCCTAATAAAAAGTATTTTCAAACTGTTAGATTAAGATGAACGAACGAATATGATATAACCGTCTTTCTTACAAATATAAATATTTCTTCTACATTTTTATTTCGAAAATCCACAAAATACACCAAAAAATTAGAGTAAAATAAATTACTCTAAAAAACAATTATTTTATTAATTTTAATTTAATATTTATTTTAATATATTTGTTTTTATTTTCAAAGATTCTCTCTGGATTTTTTCACCTGAACTAGTTGTGTACCCGCGCAATGCGACGGGCGCTATGAATTTTAACGATTTTGAAGTTCCATTGGTTTTATAAGATAAGATTTAACGATGATATATGTTACACTTGGTCTTTACATATCAATACAATTTGAATAAATAAGAGTTATGGTTCTAATTACAAACTATCGATGAAAGAAATTGTATGACAGTTTAAAATCCAATATATTTAGAATCCAACATATTTAAACGACTCCACAAATGTGTTCGATTTACACCAAGAGCAAAGAACCAAGAAACTTGAGTTTTAAGATAAACACTTAAAACCAATAAAGAAAACTACAAATTTGACAGATCATATTTACCCTCGTTTTTGTCCAGAATCTCATATTAAGGTTGAATTAATACATGTATATATATATATATATATATATATATATTTCAAAAAAACCCAAGAACATATTATACAGTGCAATTTGGATAGCCTAACCCCAAAATATATAGTATATATATATATATATATATAACTATAATTATAAATCGTAAATATTAAAAATATTTTTTACAGTATATATAATATATAATAATATAATTAAGTCAAAAACTATTCAATATTGGATTCATTTCGAAGGTATTAACGAGACAATTATAATGATATAACTTGTTAAAATAAAAATGTATTTTTTAAACATGTTTTAATTGATATACGATTATGTATGTTAATTTGATAAATGTTTAAAATGAAACATTTAAAAGTAAAGAACGTAAAGTAAATTAATTAACTAATTATAAGGGTATAAAATGTAAATTAAAAATTATAATTTTAAAAAAATTGGTTCAATGTGAGGGGTTAAGTGTATGTGAGGAGATGAGAGATGAAAAAGTGAGATAGTATAGATAAGAGTATTTTGGTCATTTAATATTTTAAGACTTTTGCTAAATTTGTTTTATAAGATAAAAAAATCGGTTCAATGTGAAGGTTTGAGTATATGTGAGGAAAGGAGAGGTGAAAAAGTAAGGTAGTATAGATAAGGATATCTTAATTATTTAATATTTTAAGATTTTTGTTAAATTTGTTTTATAAGATATTACTATAGATAATTGAGAAGGCCCAAAAAGTTTCAGTTCCAATTGAAGGCTCCCTTTAGCCCAATTGAAGGCTCAACTCTAAAGCTACTTGGGCCAGTCGGCGCAGCTCAATCCAAGCTCTCTTCCGGCGTCATCGTCGGCGCGTCCCTCTCTCTCATGGCACCTCCGAGGATTCTACTGTGTGGAGATCCCCTTGGGAACCTGAATCAGCTCTTCAAACGTGTTTCATCGGTATATACATACAAACACAAACATATATTGGTTTTTACGCGTGTAAATTGTAATTAGGTTTTTTGAATCGTGCAAATTGTTCTATGTTTTTAGGTTAACAAATCAACCGGTCCATTTGATGCCTTATTATGTGTGGGTCAGTTCTTTCCGGAATCGACCGAGCGATTGGAGGAGCTGAATGAGTACATAGAAGGTCGGAAGAATATTCCGTTACCGACCTACTTCATCGGTGATTATGGGGTTGGAGCCGCGAAGGTTTTATCAGCTGCTGCAAAGGAGTCTTGTAATCAAGGGTTTAAGATGGATGGCTTGAAGATTCGCGATAATTTGTACTGGTTGAAAGGCAGTGGCAAGTTCACACTGAATGGTATTTTTCATATAAAAACTGTTAAGACTTCATTGAAAGGGAATATATCGATTATTTAATACAAACAGAAAGTCCGTTTGGTCTAAGAACCAAAGGTTACTGGCTACCGATTATACTCCCTACTAAAGTACTTACCAAATCATAAGTTGAAATGGGCATAAGATTGAGACTCAAGAGGAACGAACTGAAAATTTTATTGGGTTATATTCATCTTTCATTGTTGATAATACAAGGTCTGCCACGTTATTGGTCGTTACTTATATGCACTACTTTGGAATGCAAATGAGCTAAAGTAATTTAACTAATGGACAAAGATTGACAGATCAAGTGGGAGCTCTCAACTTCAACTGGTTCAAGCTTGAGAAAAAGTTTTAATTCCAAGACTGAGTTTAGCCTGAAAGAAATCTTTAATATTTGAAACTTGATCATTTGGAATCAAATATATCCCTGAACGAAATCAAGTTGTATCAGTTCAGAGTGATTGATCGCCTTCGATATAAG